GTACTGGTCTGCTTATCTCTAATGATTGGAAATTTAGATCACTATTACCCACCCTTTTAAATTCAGTTTTGTACTTGTTTATCGACCCCCAGGACCACAAGGTAACTTCTTGGATGAATTAGATGTGCTGCTCTCAAACTTTCCTGAGGATAGTACTCCAATAGTTATGCCTGGAGACTTCAACATCCACCTAGATAAACCTCAGGCTGCAGACTTCCACACTCTGCTTGCCTCTTTTGATCACAAGAGAGTGTTAACTACAGCTACACACAAATCAGGCAACCAACTGGACCTTATTTACACACGACACTGCTCCACTGATCATGTGCTGGTTACTCCACTGCACACCTCGGATAACTTCCTCCTCACTCTTAACCTCAACATGGTTTCTGACACAACCCATACCCCTCCACATGTCATCTTTCAACATAACCTACGCTCACTCTCACCCTCCCAGCTATTTACTATGGTTTCATCTTTGCTTCCTCCCCCAGAAGTTATCATCTCTTGATGTTAACAGTGCTACTGATACTTTCTGCTCCACTCTTACGTCTTGTTTAGACACTGTCTGCCCCTTGTCTTCCAGGCCAGCCCGTACCACCTGCAGCATCTGGACCAATCAGACACACAGTTTTTTTTGTTATATTTAACAAATGTGATGTAGCGTCTGGACCAATCAGACACACAATTTTTTTTTATATTTAACAAATACTCCGTAACACCCCTCAATCAACAAGACAACTATGAGGGCTCAATGGACCCTTCCCCCGAAATACAGCTAACGCCTCAAAAAGTAAGAACAGGCCTCTGGTTCCATGGCAACCTATGCTGATAACTCTGGTTTTATTGCTCAAAGGAATGCGGGCAGAGCAACTCTAAATTCATTTACCCCTAGGAAAGACACACAATGCCCATAAAACATGGACTCTTCTCTAATTAATTCATGGAAAAACCTTTCTGTGAATGAACACACATCTCCTCAGGACATTGTGTATACCATTACTGTTCTTGTATATTGTCTTTTGAATTGTATACTGTTTTGTGTACACTAGTTAATATAACCCCACCGATACCATGTTTGGTCTCTTTGAATTTGTCTTCTGATGATCTAAATGAGTGTTTATATTATATGTTGATATTTATGCAACATATTATTGTTCTAAGAATCTTTAGTGGTCTTTGCATCAACATCCAATCCAGTTACATATGCAAATTGCCATGCTTGGAGACAAAGAGTCAAAAACTTTCCCTCCAAAAGTTTAAGTCACCATTGGCTCTTTGACCCCCAAGAGATTTGACCTCCACAGACCTGAAAAAGCCTCACTTCAGTGACCCGCCTTGCTTTTTAGTCTCTTTACTCATCTCTCATCACCTTCCCGTCTGCTGGTTGCTAAGTCCCAGAGCCGACGCAGCCGCGCCTGGCAGACCTCGACACCAGTCTGTGGTTCTGTTAGTTTCTGAGAAGATAAGGATGTGAGCTAGAAACTCTTCTGCAACCCTTAAGTCTGCACCAGGCTTCGGCCTAGTCTTTCCATTCATCAAGATTCTCTGACTCAAAATGGTTATTTCTCATCACCTAACTTCAGCCAACCAACTGGAGCCCCAAAGTGCATCAGGACTCTCTTTCAAACAGGCGAGACGTGCAAGTATCAAACTTAGTCTTATTAATTGATACATTAAGTATAATTTGCACCTTTTTACAAAGGTGTATTTGAACTAAGAAACTGATGTTTCCTTCAGGCCGTAGATCTGCTGATTATCAAATTGTACCATAGCTTCATGTCTTGATTTCTCTTCTCTTTACTGCTTAAGCTTTAACCCCTTTTTCCTATGCCAACTGTATGTGTGTGCGTGTGTGTGTATGTTCGACTAGCGTAAGTGTTTATGTAGTTAATAAAGTCTTACTTAAAGTTTGTATCACACTTGAGGTTGTTCATTGTTTGCTCATAACTGGAGTCCCTAATCATGCAGATTTTTGCTACATGCTCTGAGTAGTATTGTACAGTAAGAAAGTTATTTTCCTTAACCAGGAAATTAACATTCTTAGAATTGACAGACAGTTGACACTGAGATGTCAAGTAAATACTTACAGAGCATCTAAATATTTATAATTAATTATAACTAGTTATAACTAGAATTATTCATATTTCCCCTTTGAGCTGATTCACTACACACCCCTTCTGCCCCTAGGCTATCATGATGTTCTCCGTTAGCATTGTTCTAAGCTCAGGGCTGCTGGAAGGGTATGGAGCAAATTAAAAATTCCTACTGACCTTAATATGTATCAGTCACTCCTCTCTTCCTTCTCTGCTAATGTCTCCACTGCTAAAAGACATACTATCATAACAAAATGAACAATTCCGTCTAACTCTCGCATGCTCTTTAAAACATTTTCATCGCTTCTTTGTCCTCCTCCTCCCCCTCCTGCATCAACTCTAACAGCTGACAACTTTGCCACGCTTTTCATCAATAAAATTAATCAATAATAATAATAAAATCATTGCATAATTTTCCACACCACAATCTGTCAAGCACATCTTACCAGCAAACATACACTCATTCACATCCTTCTCTCCACTCTCTGAGGCAGAAATCTCCAAACTCATCCTTTCTAATCATCCTACTACTTGTCTGCTTGATCCTATTCCATCTCATCTCCTTCAAGGCATTTCTCCTGCATTTGTAAGTCGCTTTGGATAAAAGTGTCTGCTAAATGACTAAATGTCATGTAAATGTAAATCATCAGTGTGCAAAGTAACAGAAAACAAAGTAGCCTAATACAGGATTCTGGTAGGAAACAGTCTAATAAATTGCCTAATTGCTATAGACCTCTAAAGACAGATCAGCTTATCAAAACCAATAGGATTCAGAACACATCAAGAGTATATTAGACCCAAAAAGCCAGATCTCAAAATCTTATAGCCACTGTTGGAAAGGGTTCAAAAATGCAGATGATATTGAAAAACTAATGAATTTGCAGAGTCTGGAGAAATTTCCTGAAGAAAACTGGGCAGTTTAACTCATGAGTAATTATTACAAAACACAAGATCATCCAGGTAACAATGCACATTATATCATACGAAAAGGTTTAAACTGTGTCACTTGTGTAAACTCAATTATTATTTTGTCTTGTGGACTATATGTTGGCATTTGTCATGTGAAATAGATTATTCAGGACAGTATTAAAAAAATAAAAATGTAATTTTTACGAGTCTTCTTATTCTATTATCCTTTTGCAGATACAGCAATGTGTACATAAACTCAAAACCTCAACTGTAAAAATCTGTTTTTGATTTCCAAACAATCCCTTTGCAAACAGTGTAACCATTCAGACAGAAGCCATTGAGACTAAAGAGTAAATCCATGTTGCAACTTCTTCAACTACCTTAAAAACTATTCTCAAGTGCAACACTATTGATTTGGTTCTGCAAGATAAAGAGCGGTTTTGTTAATCGATTAATACCATTAAAAACATGCTGGTAGGCATGATGCACAACCGACAGCTGTTGACTTTATATTGCTCAACTGATATTAAACAGCATTACCAGTATTATTATATAGTGTAAAATTTGAAAAAAAATTATAAATACTGTCCCACATACTTGAGTATCTGCAGTGAGCAGTTTGGATCCTCCAGTCTTTGTTTGAGCAGCTGGACTCCTGATGGTCCTGGGTGATTGTAGCTCAGATCCAGCTCTCTCAGGTGTGAGGGGTTTGAACTCAGAGCTGAAGACAAATAACCACAGCCTTCCTCTGTCACCATACAGCCGGACAACCTACAAACACACACAGATGAGATCATTTACAGACACATATCAACATTATGACCGACTGACAGTACATCATCCTTCTTACACACCTCAGTATCTGCAGCTGACAGTTTGGACTCTTCAGTGCATCAGAGAGCAGCTTCACTCCTGAATCCTGCAGGTCATTGTTACTCAGATCCAGCTCTCTCAGGACAGAGTTTGAGGATTGTAGAGCTGATGACACAACTTCACAGTCCTGAGCAGTCATGTTACAGCCAGCAAGACTGAAACGAAAAAAAAAATATCATAATTCTACAGTTTGTATTTTGATAATATCAGCTAATATCAGATCTAGTCAAAGACATTCTACAAATTATACTCAATATGCATTAGTCAGCACAACAAATCTAAAATTCCATTTAAAAATGATTCTTTATTGTAACATTTAAACACTCACAGAGCTTTTGTGCAGTTGCTCACAGCTGGTATCAGTCTTCTTCTCCCCTCATCTGATGTGTTGTATTTCTGGAGGTCCAGCTCATCCAGCGGCTCCTCTGACATCTGAAGCATGTAGGCGATTGTTGAGCAGTGAGCAGGAGAGAGTTTCTTCTCTGAGTGTTTGTCTGATTTCACAAACTCCTGAATCTCTCTGGACAGAGTCTGATCTTTCACTTCCAGCAGACAGAGGAACAGATTGATGGATCTTTCAGTGGAGAGTCCATGTCCATCTTTGATCTTCTCTTTAATGTACTGTGTGGTTCTCCTGATGCTCTCTGAGCTGTTCTCTGTGTGTGTCAGTAGATCCTGTAAGAGTCTCTGATTTGACTCCAGTGAGACGCCCAGCAGGAACCGCAGGAACAGATCCAGGTGTCCATTCTTACTCTCAAGGGCTTTATCTACAGCATCTCTATGCAGATTATGTATCACATCACAAAACTGCAATGCATCAATATGTATTATTACATAATGATAAAACACAAAGAAAGCAGCGAGAAACTCTTGAACGCTCAGATGGATGAAGCTGTAGACTTTCCTCTGATGAATCACAGATTCCTCCTTAAAGATCTCAGTGCAAATCCCAGAATACACTGAGGCATCAGGGA